TTCCGTACAAAATGTAAATCGATAAAAATTTGTTTCATCCGAGAATGATGCATGGGATTGACACTTAAATGAGTAGCACCAACATTATCACAAAGAAGTTTGAGAGGCTTTGTGATTTGGATACCTAGTTACTAAAAGAGAGCTGTGAGCCAGGCAATTTCAAAGGTTGTTGTTGCAAAGGCATGATATTCTACCTTAGTGGAGGAACGTGCTACTACACGTTGATTCAGTGTATATCAGGAGATAGTGTTCTCGAAGAAAATAACAAATGCAGATGTGGAGGTGTGATCATCAGCATTACCGACCCAGTATACATCAGAGTATGCAGTAAGTGTATTTCAGCATCCATGTAGAGTAGGAGACCATGGTGCCAAGTGTTTTTAGATACCGTAGGAGTCGTTTGACAGCATTTCAATGTTGCTCTATAGGCTAATGTATGAATTAGGCTAATCGACTAACACGAAAGGCAATATGTGGCTGTGTAAAGGAGAGATATTGAAGACTTCCAATTATTCGATGGAACTCAGTATTATCGTTGGCTAGTGAGCCATCATCAAGGCGGAGATGAGCAGTAGTAGCCATCGAGTACAAACTGGTTTAGCTCCTTCTAAATTTGTTCTCTAAAAGAGATCCCGAACATATTCTTTTTGGTTTAAGCGTAACCCATTTCTGATGTGTAATACCTCAACACCTAAGAAATAGTGTAACCAGCCCAAATCTTTAATAAAAAATTTTGAGCCTAATGCTTGAATGATGAACTCATTGAAGCCAGTGGAATTGCCTGTCAATATAAGATCATCAACATAGACAAGAAAATAAGCCACAATATCATCATGAGTGTAAATGAATAAGGATAAATCCGATTTGGATTGATAGAACCCCAATTTCTGGAGATAGCCACTAAGGGTGGTATACCAAGCCCTTAGGGCATGTTTTAGCCCATAGAGAGACCAGCCAAGCTTACAGACATAATTGGGCTTGTTATAGTCCACGAAGCTAGTGGGTTGGACCATATAGACATCCTCATCAAGTTTACTATGAAGAAAGACATTATTAACATCCAATTGGCGAAGTGTCCATCCACGAGAGAGAGAAATGGTGAAAATAATCCAAATGGTGGCAGTTTTGACAACTGGTGAAAAAGTTTCCTTGTAATCAATGTCGGGTCTTTGATGAAAACCTTTAGCCACTAAACGGGTTTTATAACGATCAATGGACCCATCAGGATGTCGTTTCACTCGAAATATCCATTTGCATCCATTAGGTTTGATAACTAGTAAATTAGGAACAAGATCCTAAGTCCCATGGCGAACAAGAGCATTGAATTTATCACTTATGGCTTGACGCCAGTGGTAGTCCTTCAGAGTCCGCCCCACATATGTATGTTCAATAGATTGTGGCATAGGATATTTCATGGCAGTGAACATCCATTTGGGCTTTCGAATATTATTTAAGCCTTTTGTGATCATCGTATGAGTCCGAAGAGGACCAAATGGGGCAATAGGCTCTGATAAAGTAGCTGGAGAAGTGGGGGTCATGCCAAATTGGTTGACAGGTGATAGGCCCGTAGGTGGACTGGACAGGATGGGTTCTTCTTTCAGAAGGTAAGAACTAAGTGGACTATGTGTGTTAGATTGCACTGTGGCTGGAGGGGCGAGTATGTTTTGGATCGGGCTAAATGAGATTGGTAATATGGTTGGCTGTTGATTAATGTGAGTGGTAGACTTGGACATGGGTTGGATAGATGGAATAATAGAGGTGTATAAGAAAACTAATTCATCAAACATGAAATGGCGTGTAATTTAGACATGATTAGATGTGAGATCAAGGCATCTGTAGGCACTTTGAGAATTAGAATACTGAATACCTGATGAAGATACACGGTTTGAATTTTGGGTCAAGTTTGTGATTGTTATATAGTTTAAGCTAAGGAAAACATAAACAACCAAAGGTCTGTAACTTTAGGTAATTGGGTAATGTCCCAAAGAGGTGAGTGAAAGGTGGTTTGTGGCCTTTTGTGGTGGGAAGGTGGTTGATAAGATAAACCGCAGTTTGAAATGCAACAATCCAATATTTTGGTGGGCATATTGTAAGGTTTAACCGATCTCAACAACGTGGCAATGTTGCCGCTTAGAAAGGCCCTTAAGTTGTGAAATGTGGGAAGGTGTTGTAAATGACCTATTCCATGGGTTTGGAGATAGGGTTTGAATCCTGTAATATTTACCGCAATTGCCAGTGTATAAATTTTTAATGGGTCAACTGAATTGCTTTTCAAGGAGGACATGTAATTAGGGAAAATTTTTACCAACTTATGATTTGATATATGGGAAAGAACTAGCAATATCTTGTGATAGATCAATGAATATAACATAGTATTTATGGCCCTCATGAGATAGAACATATGCCGATCCCCAAGCATCAAAGTAAATAAATTCAAGCGGAGCAGTTGTATGAATAGTACTAGTATTAAAGGCAATTGATGTCTTTTATTTATATGGCAAGGATGACAAGCTTGTTTCAAGTGCTTAATGAAAGAGAATGCTGTGAAATTAATTTAGAAACTAGACGATGGTGAGAATGCCCTAGAAGATGATGCCAAATGACACTAGAAGTTCTTTTTGCAACATTGGCCACAATAGGAATGAGCGGGTCCGGTAGTGTGGTAGGTAATGGGTAAATGCCTTGTTCATACTTTCCTCAAAGCAGAATTGCCCCCATTGTCCAATCCTTCACCAAAAAATAATCAAGATGAAACTCAATTAGTGCATTATTATTTTTGGTGAATTGATGTATAGAGATAAGATTGTTAAGAATGTCTGGAACACATCATGTGTCATTAAGGTTAAAGTCATGAGTAGGCAAATGTAAAATAAAGGAGCCAATATGAGTAACGAGTAAACCTGAACCATAACCAATTACCACAACATCAATGCCATCATACTCAAAATAGATGGACAGATTACCAAGCTCCAAGGTAATATTATGAGAGGCCCCAGAGCCTAGTAACCATTTTGTAGATTTTCCTTTGGAGCGGCTAGCACAATTAGCTGAAGCAGTCTTTAGCTTTGGACAAAATTTGGCAATATCTCCAATGTCATCACATTATTGATAGGTGGGCTTAATGAACCGATGGGATTGTTGGTCGCTCTGATTGAGAGATCGAGTATAACTGGGCTAGAGAAATGGGCAGCCCGAACCCCATCATGACGTACGACAGGATTGGCAGTCACAACAAGGCATTTGAGATATACTTCATGACTAAGTAGTATGTCATGGAGTTCTTCAAAGGACAAATATGATTATCTGGTACGAATGAAGCAACCACATTATGAAATTCTTGCTCCAAACCATTGAGTACATAAAGGGTGATATATCAGTAGAAACATAAACGTCAATGAGTCTCAGTTCATCAACTGTAGTCTTCACAGCTTGCATATATTCGGAGATACTCCGATCAACACGTTGCAACGAACAGGATCAATTGGCATACAGACGGGACAGGCACTGCCACGCTTCCTATGATGTTTGAGTAGTAGCAATTAATGGCGTGATGGTTTCAGCAATAGAAGCAAGGACTTATCCTGACACAACCCATCCGAATCATCCCAGTAGATCCGACACGTGTCGTGCGCTGATGGTAGATACCAGCTAAACACCGGACCTACCACCAAGGCAACTTTGACTTTCTTGACAAAAAAATATATTTTTAGAAGAATTTTGATAGAATTTTCCTTAAAATATAGATAAAACCACCTGAGTAAAAATCAATTTTTTCAAATCTATGCATATAATAATAAACAAGGTACACTAACACTTCGAAATACCAACTATTCAAAATAAGTGTATCCGAAAGAAATTTATATTCCTTTATATTCAGATAACTCCATTTGTAAAAAATATATAAAAATATGCAGTGAGCTTGTGATATAAATACATTTTCTAATAAAAGATGTATCAATCCCAAAAATATGTGATGTATTAACTAATAGGATGCGACATACAAGAAATTATACTGTGTGGCTCAACTCTCAGATCGACAGGCCCCAATATGGCTCAATGCAGCTACTATCTGCTAAGAAAAATGGTGACAAAATATGAGCTTGTAACTCAATTAGTTGATATTTTGTAAAAGTATACTTTTCCCTTTATAACAACTTTCTGAAAACTGGTGTCAACTTCCAAGTTTCCTTTCACAATACTATAAACTAAAATCTTTATTCTTTAAACTAAATAAGCTAAATACTGTAATTTGAAATCTGATAATACTATTAAAACTAAAATATACTGGAATCATACAAATCTTTATTCTGTAAACTACATAAGCTAAATTTTGTTCCTAAAATCTAATTAACTGTATAATGCTGAAAAATCATGCTGAAAAGCTTTATTCTTTAAATTGAATAAACTAAATTCTGAAGTCTGTATAATACTAGAAAATCACAACAAAAAGGTATCCAATGAATAGCCTTACTCATTGTATCGATTAGTACCGATATACATGGCAAAGCTATTTAATTCTTAAATTCTTAAATTCTAGTCATACGCGCGCAGAGCTGAAATTCTATAATTTTGGTCATACACTATGGAAACACATTCACAATAGTGCAGAGCGGGTAGAATTATCATAACTAATCATACACTGTGGAAATACATTCACACCAATGCAGAGCGGATAAAATAACCATAACTGATCATACACTGTGGAAACACATTCACATAAGTGCAATTATGGTAAAATCACTTGGGGTACTTTCTGGTGGTTTTAAAAATAACTTTAAATATGTTGAAATATTTAATATTCATATAACTTGTTAATCAAATGATTTAATTGAAGTGAATTTAACTTTAAAAACAACTAATTATAAATCCATTTTATTCTAAAAATCATGCTGTCAAATCAATTGTATGAAATAATAATTTTCAAATCTAACATAAATTTAATAAATATTAATTTCTAAAAAATAAGTTTTATATCCACTCATTGCTCTATGGATAAAAATCGGATTAAATTAACCGGCATCTCCAACTTCCACATCACTACCTGAAATACCAGTATAATAATTCAAATTAAAATATGATAATTAAACTAATGCAAAGTCACCACTTAATTCCTCAAATTTCACATTTTCTCTTGAATCTTCCCCAAATTTTCCTTAATCAATTGAAGCTAATCCCACTTTCTAGTTCCTCTACTAATAACCAATTCATCGAAAAAAAAAAAAAAAAACCCTTCATTCCAAGCATAAAATAATTTCACTTTACATTCTAGTAAAAACTAACACAAATAATACAACCAACCTATCTTCAATCTAGCTTCATAAAATCATGCTTTCACTTGAATATTTCATCACCTCAATTATTCCATTAGCAATACTTAATCAAAAATCCCAACTAAAAATTTCTAGGGTTCGTTCAAAATTCATATAACTTACCTTAATGTAAATATCAATCACCACTCACAAAGATTGGCTTGAAATCATGCTCTTTCCTTCAATCTAAAATTTAAATCAACAACTTAGAACCCTAGAATATTTAACATCATCATACAACAAACATATACTTTCCAATTCTTTAAGAAATGAAATAGTACTTGAAGAAATCAACCCTTACTTCCTCTTCTTCCTTTTCTTCCCTTCCTTTCTGTCCTTTTTTTTTTCTCCCATTCTTTCTCGATTCTTCCAGCTCTCTCTGCCCCTTTTTTCTTAAAAAAAAGGTTGAACCCCAACCTTGAGGGTTCCCACCGCCCCACCCCTATAGCTTTGTGAGGAAGGTAAATCGCTGAATGTGCCCCCAACAGGTCAAAGAACAAGAGCTGCCTGTACACCGCGCTTACAAGGAATCCAATTCCATATTTCAGAAATCGAACTCCCACACTACAGCTGTCAACAAGGCGTGAGATAACATCACTCATGTCTTTTGCACCACTGAATTGAATGTGTGTGTAAAAGAAATGGGCAATTGGGTTTTAAATGGGCCACTAAATCAAATTGCAAATGAAGTCCTACTACTTCAATTAAACATAACATTTAATCCCTTAACTTTTAATAATATTTAAATAGCTTCCCAAAATAATAATTATTATTATTATTCCATCTTAGAACCTCAAAATATTTTCAATTTGTAAAATAACCCCAATACAATAATTTACTTCATTAAAGTCCTCATTTGACTTTGACTTTGAAAATTCAACTCTTGACTTTTGACTAAATAAAATGGGTTGTAACATATCCTATAGGAACCACAGTGTTACGCAGTGCGAGTAGTGGCATCTATAGACTTATCAGATTTTGATGGCACGGGAGATCCATCTAAGTGTCCCATGAGATCATACCCGTAAAGCAGACGGTAAAAGTAGCACTCCATAATGGATAATTGGAGAAAGTAAAGCGCTACAATTGGTCAGTGTTTATGGCAATAAGAGATGTCTTTATCAAATAGAGAGCCGCTAGTTGGGTGAGACACAACGGCTAACTGGAGGGGAAAGAATCATCTAATGATGCATTGTAGCGGAAGGTTGGAATCGAGATTCTCGATAGAGGAGAGGCTCTCATATAAAATTGTTTTAAATGTATTATTGTTTCTCACACTTTAATACAATCTCATTGTGATATTTATAGATAGATAGTTGAAGAATAATGCTATATAAAGCAAGTAAGCTATACAAAGAAGATGAGAAGACGATTGCATGATTTATGGAATAGCCGTGCTTGAGTCATGGAGTTTGTTTGGAGAAGATTTGTTTTGGCTGCTGGAATTGTGGTGCTGATTGAAGGAGTGACGATAGTTCTATTAATTTAGTTGCATCTGTTAACTCGTTATACGGAAGCATCTAATTTTCTTTAACACGAAACTGGGCAAAGTATGAATGTAGGGAAGCCAACTTGATATTGAACTTGAGATGATCTAATTGCGAAACCTGTTGCAATATTTAACAACTTTTCTATATTTTTTGCACCAAAATTTCTGTTATTAGCTTATCTTTATTCTCTTAAAAGTAAGCATTCTCATTTTTTGTTATAGTTTGATTTTTATTTCATCAATTCAAGCTTACATATCTCTAAACATTGTCGCATCTTTTTCAAATATTGGATCGTCATGAAAGCAATTAAAAAAAAAAAAAAAAAAAAAGGTCTACTCAAACGATTGGCTGTCATCTGATTATCTGTGGTCAACTCGGCTAAGTTCGTATATGGTGATCAGAGATGTGTTAATGAGGCTGAGAAAGTTGTGCTAGAATCTAATTATGTGCTGATATTTGGTGGCGAAACCAGACGTATTTCTCATTGAGTGACATCCATTATCCCTAATATAGTTCCTCCATTTGGAACATGCAAAACTTCAACCAGTTCGTCTCAACCTTACTTTCAGAAAATACTTGTTATAGTTGAACATGTATTGCACGTCATTCTGAAATGTTTTATTGGTGCTATAAAAATAAGGTTTAAAGATGTGAGTATATAAAGAGTAATTAATACAAAATTTTAACGTCGAATGAATTTTTAATTCAAATGAAATAAAAACTAATTTGTGAAAACAATTTAAATAGTTGAGGAAATCAATTAAAATAATTTCTCTATTTACCCTTTTGATTTGAACTGAATATTCGACGAATACCATTCTTTCTTCATATTCTCTTAATATGTATTGAATTTGTCAATTGAAATTATATATTATACATACGTATCATGTATCTACATTTACGTTTTCTATACCGTAACATTCATTGAATAAATCGATTGGAAAAAACTCTAAAAATATTCATATTTTGTTCCGAAAGAGTTTTAATGAATTTAATTTACTATCCAATCAAGTGGAATGAATATGTAAAATGTACATTTATGTCAACCTTTTTCCGCATCGGATTGTCATTCTTAACCTTCAATTAATTAATATATTTTATCTTTAATTACGATTTTGATACAAATATTCTACTAACGTGCATTGAAAAGATTGACAAATATTTTGTTTAACTTTTATATTTGTTATTTATTTCAATTATATAAAAATGCGAGAGAGAAATACATCTTTTTGGTTGTCATGTCAAATATTTTGGATGAAAAGCATCTCTATAGACAAGATGTGAAAATTAATAGAAGGTTGATGATAAAAAAAATTAAAAAAAAAATGTTGAGAACATAAGTGTACAAGTAAGAAAAATTTAGGGGTATGCATTGTAATAAAAATTGTGGTGTTAATATATTTACCCTATGTATATTGAATCCATAAAGCTTCTTTGCCAGCAAAGTTTTGAGATGTTGGTTGACATACACTCACATGCGATGGGGCCCGCACGGGATTCGCTTGAATAAAAAATGCCAAAAAAAAAGTGCACCCACCCCCCTCCGATTGTGAGTGTCTGTCAAGGAGGGCTTGACGTAGCTTGGTCCATATTGTATACATTTTATCTGTTGAAGATGATCATTGTTGACCCTTGCACTTTTATATCTTATCCAAGTTTGGAGAGGGTATTTTTTATGGACATTGGGATCCCAAAATGCGATTCTTTGGATTATGTATTGGAATATAAGATAAAAGAATAATAAAATTATTTTGAAGCAATACTTTCATACAGTTCTTTATTTTAATTTCCTGATATTTTGAATAAAAATTACTAGAATTATTAAAATAAAATTCTTTTTGTATTCTCATTTCCAATATTTTATATATTGAAGCATTGGTTGCATGGTTTGAGTTTTCCTCGTATGTCATTGTCTATTAAACATTTTAAAAGTTTTATCATGATAACGTCCATAGTCACGGTAGGTATGCTAAAAGTTATTTAGTCTCAAGATGCATTGAATTGTTTCATTTTTGTAATTTTCTAATTTTTTATAATGTGGAATTATCAAATTTCATCTTTCCTGTTCTACAATACGTATTCACTTGAAACTAATCTGCTTTCACTTCCTTTATTCATAAGCAAGGCAGAGATTTTTCTAGGGCTCCAAGTTAGATCAACTTCCTTTAAAATATCTTCTAGTTAGACAAAATATTTTCAAAAAATTATCGAATCAATCCCAAAAGCTGATTTTGACTTTCAAAAGTTGTGTCAAATGAACGCTAAGTAGATTATCTTTCAATTTATTTTAAAATTTCCATCTTCTAATCATGAACCAAACATAAATGGTGGGAAGAATTATTCAATGGACACTATAAACGACAGCATCAAGCTCAGTTAAATCAATAATTCCCTCTTCTAGAGTTTGTAGTTTAAGGTTTCCCAGACATGCATGCAATTTAATGATTAATAAGGGAATGCGAGGCAAGGCCAAGTTTGAGAGGGCTTATTGGTAATGAAATTAAAATCAATATGTAGGTTGTATTCTTCACGAACTCTGGGACAGAAGCAAATGAGTTAGCTGTTACGATGGCGCGTTTATACACAGGCTGTCACGATATTATATCTCTGAGAAATGCGTACCACGGAAATGAAGCTGGGACCATGGCAGCCACTGCACTATGTAACTGGAAATTCATTCTTGTACAGGTAAAAACGCAGTTCCTAGTCGTCTTGCAGTGACAAGTGAACGTAGCTCTCATGTTTAGGGTCTTCTGTAATACTTTGTCCCCCCCCCCACCCTCCGGATTAATATTACCGATATACTTGTTCAAGTAAAATATTTGGACAGAATTTTGACAGTGTGTGCAAACTATTTACTACCTGTAATCTATTCTTTGGAACAAAGCATGAAGCATAAAATTCCATATTGCAATAGTAGTTCACAAGCTGCTTTCTCGATTATTTCCCGATTCTTTTATTTATTTATTATTATATTTTTTTAACTCGAACAGAGTGGAGTTCATCATGCCATGAACCCGGATCCATACAGAGGAATCTTTGGTTCAGATGGTGAAATGTATGCAAAAGATGTTCAAGATCTAATTCAATTCGGAACTTGTGGCCATGTTGCGGCTTTTATATCTGAAGCTATACAGGTAGTCCCTTCCGTTAAGTACCTAAATAATTATGGTCCATCTGGATTTCGCATCAGCCACAAAAGGGCCCATCGCATTCTCACATGTCTATGAATCTTTGTGTCTTGACCTTCGAGGCTCAGTTGAACAAAAGATGTCTTGGCCACTGAGGCTCTCTTAAGCAGCGTAGTGTGCAAAATTCTAAAACTTGGCTAGAATGATTGGAGGCCTCGACAGGCAACATGACTAAAGGCCTAGGTTTGGCCTCGGATACGGATGGGAACCTCATTGGAAATTTTGACAGAATACAAGGACTCTAGTGCACTAAAACCCATGCATGCACACATTGAACTACTTGAACAAGTGTTACAAAGCACAAACCTTTACAAGCTTTAAAAAATGAGATTTGAACATGACCTCCAAAATAACGAGGGAATGCAACTCACGAAAATGACTAAAATACCTCTAAAATAGCCTAAAATAAGACCATTGCCCAATAGAAAAGGGATGCACTTTTGCACTAAAAATTCTAAAGACTGAAAGATTACCACTCCTAAAAACTGCATAGTTGTAGGAAAACAAACTAGTCAATTAGAGAAGTAATTATTTTCTTATAATTATGGTTTGAATATTAGGAGTTAGTTTCCTAATTTTTCTAGCTGATTTTTTGTATACCATAGATAGATAGGGTAATTTCTATTTTTTAGGAGCTGATTAAGGATCTGATTTTCAGATCTTTGTGTATATATATGTATTCATTCTTATCAATAATACATATGAAAATATTCCCGAATCCTCACTGCTTCATGTTATCAGAGCTAAGGATCTAAAATCCTAATTTTTCAGTCTAGCAGCGGTCGAGCCTCTTCCTCTGTGTTTTACCCTGTTCCCGGGTTACAAAACAGAGCATCACAAACCTAATTCTCAACCTCTCAGTCATCATCTCGAATCTATCTTCATCTCTCTCACAAATATCATTCCTATGGCAGAATTCGAGCACACCTCCAGGGACTCATCCGCATCTAATCCCTCTCTTGGTGTTCCTATAGCTCCTCAATTAACTCAGACTACAACCGAAACTAGCCCCATTTCCATTACCTGTCATAAACTCAATGGCCATAACTATCTCCAATGGTCCTAGTCAATGATGATGTTCATAAGTGGACGAGGCCGAGATGATTACCTCACTGGCGCATCCACCCAACCTAACTCAAGTGATCTGCAATTCAAATCTTGGAGGGCAGAAAACAATCTTGTTATGTCTTGGTTGATCAGTTCAATGACAACCGAGATAGGAGAAAATTTTTTGTTATACACAACAGCCAAAGAGATCTGGGACGCTACACGTGATACTTTTTCTAGCAATGAAAACACAGCCGAACTTTTCCATGTGGAAAGCATTCTTCAGGACCTACGACAGGGAGAAAACTCTGTCACCACCTATTTCACTTCTCTTACTCGTCATTGGCAGCAGCTAGATCTCTTTGAATCACACAAATGGAAGTGTCCTGATGACCGTACCTATTTCAGAACCATTGTTGAAACCAAGCGCATCTTCAAATTTTTAATGGGTCTTGATAAGTCTCTCGATGAAGTTCGAGGTAGAATCCTAGGGACCAAACCACTACCAAGTCTACGAGAAGTTTTTTCTGAAGTGCGTCGAGAGGAGAGCCGCAAGAGAGTGATGTTGGGACAACCCAGCCTTTCCTCTTCCCTAGATGTTTCAGCCCTTGCAGCAGCCAAGGATCATTCACCAAATTCTGTTGCACTTGCTTCTCGTGGGATGTCTCAAAATTTTATTGAAAATCGATCAAGAAGAGGACGCCCCTGGTGTGATTATTGCAAGAAGCCAGGCCACCTCAAAGAAACAAGCTGGAAATTGCACGGAAAGCCCTCTGATTGGAAGCCAAGCCGAGACCATGAGTCTAGAGGAAATGCAGCAATTACTGAGACGTCCCAATCCAACAATCCGGTGTCTTTCACAAAGGACCAGTTAGCATTACTTCAGCAGCTTATTAGTAAGGCTAATGTCTCAACTAATCCAACATCTACCAATGTTGGGAACGGTTCAACACATGGCTCAAACAACCTCGCACTTCATGTAGCACATTTTCCCTCTTCATGGATAGTAGACTCTGGTGCGTCGAATCATATGACAGGTGACAGATCTCTTTTCACAACCTATTTTCCTTATAATGGTCATCAAATAGTACGTATAGCCAATGGTACACGTACTAAAGTGGAAGGGGCAGGAACAATCCATCTCTCAAACACTCTCACCTTATACTCTGTTTTATTTGTACCTAATCTTGACTGTAATCTCATCTCTGTGAGCAAACTAAATAGCGACCTTCACTGTGAAACTAAATTCTTTGCCAAATATTGTGTGTTTCAGGACTTGACCTCGGGGATGATGATTGGCAATGCTGAGCTTCGTGCGGGTCTCTATCTCCTTGATGTGAACACTTCATCAATTCCTACTTCCTTAGCAAATAAAAATCGAGTCAATCCTCAATGTTGGTCAGTTCATAGTCTCAAGTCAGTCAGTCAGTCAAATAAGGATAGTACAATTATGATGTGGCACTCTCATCTTGGTCATCCTAATTTTTTGTACATGAAACGATTGTTTCCATCTTTATTCATTAATAAAAATCCCAATTTACTCCATTGTGAAGTGTATCAACTTGCAAAACATACCCGAAGCACTTATTCTCCACGACCCTATAAACCAAGTCATCCTCTCTCCCTCATTCATGGTGACATTTGGGGACCAACTAGAATTCCTAATATTACTGGCGCTCGATGGTTTTTGTTGTTGGTTGATGACCATACCCGATTATGTTGGACATTTCTTATGAAAGAAAAATCTGAGACCAACCATATTTTCCAGCATTTCCATGCTATGGTCCAAAACCAGTTTAAAACCAATATTCAAATCCTTAAAACTGACAATGCTAGAGACTTTTTTAATTCTATTCTCGGTCCATATCTCAAGTCCCATGGTATTATACAACAAAGCTCATGTGTTGACACACCACAACAAAATGGTGTAGTCGAACGCAAGAACCGTCATATACTCGAAGTTGCTCGATCCTTGCTTTTTCAATCCAACGTTCCTAAGAAATTTTGGGGCGACGCAGTCCTCACAGCCACTTACCTCATAAATAGAATGCCCTCACGAGTCCTCACATTCAAATCACCACTACAACTTTTCCATAGCCTTTATCCAACCTCACGACTAGTGTCTCAAACCCCTCTCAAAATCTTTGGTTGTGTTGCATTTATTCATATTCGCCATCACAACCGTAGTAAACTCGATGCACGTGCTCTTAAATGTATTTTCATTGGATACTCAACCAATCAAAAAGGCTACAAATGCTACTCTCCCATCACACACAAATTCTATAACACCATGGATGTCACGTTTTTTGAAGATAAACCATTCTTTCCCAATTTTGCAATCCAGGGGGAGTATGACACTCATGAATTACAAAATTGGGATTGGTCAGCCCTCCTTGAGTCAAATCCAAGTCCATCTCATCCACAAGAATCATCACACTCACCCAACTCATCATCTGAAATAAATCCACCACATTCACCCGAAACAAGTTCATCTTCTGTGATCTATCCTAAACATCTCAATCTCCCTGATGAAGCAATAAAAGTTTACACAAGAAGAAACATACCTCAGCAACCCGAACGGAGCCAACAAAGTCAAGAGACTTTCCCAAGTTCAATTGATCCTGAAAGGTCACAAAATGAGGCAGGTTTCAGTCCACAGTCAAGTTCTGAAAAGGTGGCAGAGAGTGATCCAAAATTAGATCTGCCTATTGCTAAAAGAAAAGGTGTTCGATCATGTACTCAACACCCACTTCGTAGCTACATCTCCTATTCAAACCTATCATAGAAATTCCTATCTTTTGTGACTTCTTTGGATAAAACCATGATTCCTGGTTCAGTTTTTGATGCCCTGAAGGTCCCTGAATGGCGAGCAACAACCTTAGATGAGTACAATGCACTTGAGAAAAATGGCACATGGGTCCTAGCATCATTACCACCTGGTAAGAAAACTGTGGGATGTAAATGGATATTTTCAGTAAAGCAGAAGGCTGATGGAGCATTGATAGATATAAGGCTTGGTTAATAGCTAGAGGGTTCACTCAATCTTATGGAATTGACTATCAGGACACCTTTGCTCCTGTAGCCAAACTTAATACAGTACGTGTCCTATTATCCATTGCTGTCAATCAAGACTGGCCTCTATTTCAGCTTGATGTGAAAAATACCTTCCTCAATGGGGACCTAGTTGAGGAAGTCTATATGGATATACCAGCTGGTTTTGAAACTGAGCAAACAAGGGGAAAGGTGTGCAAACTGCAAAAGGCGTTGTATGGGTTCAAACAATCACCCAGAGCATGGTTTGAAAAGTTTACTAAGGTGCTCAAACAGGATGGTTACTCATAGTCTCAAGCAGATCACACATTGTTCATCAAACACTTCACAGATGGGAGAATCACAGTGTTGATTGTCTATGTTGATGATATAGTTTTGACCGGGAATCACGAAAGACAGATGAGAAGACTTAAGATTCTACTATCCAAGGAATTTGAAATCAAAGACCTGGGACATCTAAGATATTTTCTGGGAATGGAGGTGGCCAGGTCAAGTAGAAGAATTTCAGTCTCACAACGCAAGTATGTTTTGGATCTTCTGTACGAAACCGGTATGAGTGGTTGCAAGCCGGTTGAGACTCCTATGGACCCTAATACCAAATTGATGCCTCGGACTGAAGAGTTAGCAATAGATAAGGGACAATTCAACGCTTGGTGGGGAAGCTGATATATTTGACACACACACGCCCAGATATAAGCTTTGCAGTTAGTATTGTCAGCCAGTTCCTGAGTAATCCGTCAGTGGATCACATGGAGGCAGTGAGCCGGATTCTTAGGTATCTTAAAAAGGATCCTAGAAAGGGGTTAATGTTAAGGAAAACACTTAATCAATCCCTTGAAATTTACACAGATGCAGACTGGGCCGGGTCCCCTATTGATCGAAAGTCTACATCTGGGTACTGTTCATTTGTTTGGGAAAACTTGGTGACTTGGAGAAGTAAAAAATAGCAAGTAGTAGCCCGCAGCAGTGCCGAGGCCGAGTTTCGAGCATTAGCTCAGGGTATATGTGAAGGAATTTAGCTGAATCGACTGATAGGTGAACTCAAGATTGGAACTTCAAATCCTATTAAGATGATGTGTGACAACCAATCAGCAATTGCAATTGCCAAAAATCCAGTTTATCACGATAGAACGAAGCATGTTGAGATCGATAGGCACTTCATCATGAGAAAATAGAAGGCAACGTGATTTCTCTCAACTATGTGCCCTCTCGACAGCAAGCAGCAGATATTTTAACTAAGGCCTTATTTCGACCCAACTTCATTGAACTAAGTTCTATGCTTGGTTTAATAAACATATATCGCCTAGTTTGAGGGGGAGTGTAGGAAAACAAACTAGTCAATTAGAGAAGTAATTATTTTCCTATAATTATGGTTTGAATATTAGGAGTTAGTTTCCTAATTTTTCTAGCTGATTTTTTGTATACCATAGATAGATAGGGTAATTTCTATTTTCTAGGAGCTGATTAAGGATCTGATTTTCAGATCTTTGTGTATATATACGTATTCATTCTGATCAATAATACATATGAAAATATTCCCAAATCCTCACTGCTTTAATAGTGTACAAACATTTGGGGTTGGACCGTTCGGAAATTGAAACTACCTCCAATCAAGAAACATTTTCCGGCCAATAGAATGCTGGAAACTCCATCTTTTTCTCTTTATATAGGGATTTGGCTTCGATAACATACCCAAAATCCCCCAAAAAGTGTAAACTCTACCAGAATTGGGAGGGATAAACTCCTTTTGGCTTGCAAAAATAATTTTCATCTTTCTGAGGTCAACATCTTCTATATTTCAATGATTTTCTCTGGATCCTTTGTCGCATGTTTCGTAGGGTGAAATTTTGTTGATTAGTATCTTAAGTCACTAATTAAGAGGAAATTATCATTCCTTTTCACATGAGATATTTCATTATATATCAGGGAGTTGCCGGGATTGTTGAGTTAGCTCCAGGTTACTTGCCTGCAGTATATAGCATCATCAGAAATGCAGGAGGCCTTTGTATTGCTGATGAGGTTCAGACTGGATTTGCTTGTTGGGGATTGATTAAAAATCGAATGAAAAAGAAGGAATATCGAATGCTCGAAATTATATGTAATATAGTGCTGCTGCACTTTTTATGATTGTAGAAGAGAAGATATTATATTGTAAATTTTTGTGACTTCGATACTCTTAATGGTTTGAGTTACATGGGTATTTATAGATAAGATTTAACATGTATCTAGCCTAACTCATGAACCAACATTAAATAGATACGTTTCTCCTCCTCTAGTACATTAATGGACAAATGCATGTATAATTATAATTCATGAATCTAGATAATAAATGCAAATTACGTTTCCAACACCCCCTCTTAATTTGAAATTTTGAGAATGTCTCTTGCCTTTTGAAATTTCTCGACATAGATTGCCTTGGTTAGAAAGTCTGCGGGTTGCTCATTCGTTCTAATGAATTCCAAGCTGATTTCACCATTACTCACCATATCTCGGATGAAATGATGTCGCAACTCAATGTGTTTTGTTCTCGAATGAAACACCGAATTTTTTGTCATGGCTATCGTAGACATATTATCACAATAAATTACTGTGGGCTATTTTTGAACTTGTTTCAAATCTGCTAGTAATCGCCTCAACCAAATAGCTTCGCAGGTTGCATCTGTAACAGCAATATACTCAGCTTCCGTGGATGATAACGCTACTGTTTTTTGCTTCTTTGAACTCCATGAAACAATATTAGTTCCAAGACAAAATAAATAACCTGAAGTGC